AAAAAAAAAAAAAAAAAAAAAAATGAATAGAGACAAAATTATATATTTTTTCTTTATTTGAAATTTTGAATATTGTCTTGTCTTGTCTTTATATGGTAGGGAAAAAAAAACGATATAACTATTCTAAGCCCTCAAAATAAGTGAACTCTTTTGTGAAATTGATGTCATACTATCAAATATATATATATTTTGAAATTTTATTATTTTATTTTAAACAAAAATCCATATTAAAAATGGGAAATATCATAATATTATTTGTGTGGTATTTTGAAATATTTTATTTGTTTATGAAAATAATCAAATCAATTAAATAAACATAAAAGTATTTAATCATTATATATGTCTAACAACAACTTTAATGTTAAAAATAAATAAAGATATTGATTGTATAAATGACCTCAACCGACTGAAACCACTTGGATATGCTCTCGACAGATTGATTCAGCCATTCAGGTCGGTCAAAGAGGCGACCTACTCCAGTGACGGATCTAGGAATTCAATTCAGAGAGACCGATTTTAAATGTTAAATAACGAGTTTGTAGTTTAAGTCGAAACGTTCATTTCATAAAAAATGTATTTTCTATAAATATAAATACCGATAGGTGTACCATCAAGTATTTAAAAAATTTAGAATCCGTATCACCCTCAAACTTTTTTTAAAAAAAAAAGACATTTCAGGTATTTATAATTTAACTTCAACATGAAATTAAAAGAACGTTCATACATATGAATTTCACAAATATGCAACGATTTGATCTTCGGTGACATTCCGAAACAATTTACTTTGTAGCTCTCTGATTTTTCGGAACTCTAATAACAATTTAACAAAGTTTGAGGTATTGTATGATGAAATTAAACATGCCTTATATTATGACAACTTTGTGATTATATACACATGTCCTGCTCATGAGGTTTGGAGGTCGATAGGAAGTGAGAGGATTGTAGAGATGAATTTTCTTAAAAATCATGTGACATGAAAATTATATTCTCACGTATCTTATAAAGACCTTAACTAGAAATAAAGGACTCTAAGGCAAATCCTACAGTTTGAAACTGAAACGTATAATTACTTGCGAGTGCGCGAAATGTAGTACGAACGTGGATAAACAACATAAATAGCGGAAGCAATAAACCGAAGATTTTAAAACTCTTCAGGGAAGCGTCCCACTTCCCCTCATAGCTCTTTCATTGATAAACCGTTCACACTTGTATAGTTTGGACTTACACGACTCGAACTCCCTTCTAGTCTAGCCACAACTACACACGATCCTATCAACTACTTTTCCGGCCACGTCCCGTGGACTTTACACACTCGAATCCCTCGAGCAAAACCCAGTACTTAATCCCTAAGCACTAAAATAAAGTGTTTGTAAAAGAAAAGAAACAAAACGAGTTCAGTTCTTCAGCAATGTAAGAACGCTGAAAAACTGGACCGAATAAAATAAAAATAATAGAAACTCTCAAACACTCAATTGAAGCTGATGAATGATGAACTTGATTTGCAGCACCTCTCTTGTCTTCAATTGATTGCTTGAGTAGGCTTATATACAACCTCCTTAAGGTAAGAAGTCTTCACAGTTTTTCCTTTACCTTTTAGGAGTCAATTTCCTTCTCAATTGATTCCTTTCTGATTTGGA